CAATAGCCACATATGGCTAGGTGCTACCATATTGAATAGTATAGGTCTATGCTATATACTATGAGTGACTTATGGTCATGTACACATTCTATTTTCCAATCAGCAACAATACAAACATTTACTTATTCCCCATCTGATAAGTTTCTTACTTCCTGCCTTTATCACTGGTTTTTCAGCTTCATGTCTGCTGTTACACTGCAAAATAGGTTTTTACAGGGACAATGATTATGCCTGTTAATCATTTCTTACCTTACTAAAATCAGAATATAAAAGAAAACATAGAGGACAAAAGCCTACAAGTGGTTTAAAACACCATATGTATATGATATATGTATGTGTGTGTATATATATATATACACACACACACATGCATATATATTTTGTATAGTGTTTTATGATTAACCATGCCTTTTTGCTGCAATGTCTTATTTTCACAATGTTGCTGTGAGGCTTTCCAACAAACGTTTCAATTTGCTTCCTAGCACATCTGAGGTGTCAACCTGTTTAAAACTAAAATGATAATTCTTCCTTTCTGTACTTGTATTTCTTTCTGTATTTTTGAACTCAAGGAGGGTTGTACCAACATTTGTTACCTCAGCCTGCCAGGGAGACAATCTAGAAACCTTCTCCCCTTTCTTGTTGCCCAACCTTATATCTAATTAATCATAAACCCTGTTCATTCTACGTTTTACATGTCTTAATTCTGAATATTTCATTTCTCCCCATATCATTTTGATGGTTGAACCCATATAATTTCTTGCCAAAACTATTAAAATATTCTGGCTCCACTCTAGTCCTCTAATCCATCCTCTATAATCCCCTTTCTAAAGCACAAATGTATTTATGATGCTTCTCCATATGAAAATGTATTTTTATTTATTTTTTATCTTTGTGTTAATCCCAAGGATGTTTTTCCATTGATTTTTAGAGAGAGTGGAAAGGAAAGGGAGAGACACACAGAGAGAAACATCGATATGAGAGACCCATCAATTGGTTGCCTCCCACATGAGTCTGCAACCATGATATATGTTCTTGACTGGAATTGAACCTGGGACCCACCCTTCAGTCCGAGGGCCCATGCTCTATCCATTGAGCCAAATTGGCTAGGGCTCCCCGTAAGAAATTTCAATGATGCCACGTTTCTTAAACCAGTGCTTCTCTAAATGTGAATTCAAATAATTGGAACATCTTATCAAAGTGAAGATTTTGATCTAATAGGCCCCAGATTCTGTATTTTGAAAGGTGATGATGATGATGCTTGCTCATGGACTACATTTTGAGTAGGTGCAGCCTAGAGGATAAAGTACACATTCTCTAGAATGGCATTCACTAAGCTCTTTTAGATATAACCTCTATCTAACTCTCAGCCTTAAAAAATATTTCCCCTCCTCTCCAATCGACCTAGGATCTCTAATCTAAGTCCTTCATTTTTGTCATGTGAAACAAACAAACATGCAACTCAGGCTAAAACCCCAAATTTAAAATTTCAGCAACTTTTTTGTCCAACCTCATAACCCCACCCCTCATAGTCAACCTCAGCATCCATTCTGCCCTCTTGTGGCTTTTGCTTTCAAATGAATTCAGGGAAGATTTTTGGTACAGTCTTCACAATTCTATTTATTTTATTTTATTTTATTTTTTAAATATATTTTATTGATTTTTTACAGAGAGGAAGGGAGAGAGATAGAGAGTTAGAAACATCGATGAGAGAGAAACATCGATCAGCTGCCTCCTGCACATCCCCCACTGGGGATGTGCCCGCAACCCAGGCACATGCCCTCGACCGGAATCAAACCTGGGACCCCTCAGTCCACAGGCCGACGCTCCTATAAACTGAGCCAAACCGGTTTCGGCACAATTCTATTTATTGGTCCAATTCCTCATGGGGTGTGATGGAGTTGGAAATTGAGGGGGAAAATGCTCAAGCTCCCCAAGGCCAGCACTGGAGCATTTATGGAAGCATGTGATGGCTTAGATCCTTTTGGGGCTGTCCCAGACAGCATTGTGAAGGAGGTGACATCTTTGGGCAATGTTCTTATCTCTCCATTGGAGACCACTGTCCTTTGGTCTCATGTAACTAACGTCATCATGTTGTCCGAGATTTCCCTTAGTTTTGCTCAATGCACCGGTCTTCTTCCTTCCCCTTTCCCATTATGGTACCTGGTTCAAGTCCTTATCCAGGTCCCACTTCACTCTCATACTTTTGTTTGTTTCATGAGTTCACTAGTTTTCATTCTAGAAATACTTACTGAGCAACTGCTATATGCCCAAATTTGTGCAAGGTACTGGGGATATAGTGATGAAGGAGATAGACAGAACTCCTAAACTTAACATTGTTTAAGGGCTATGAGTGCGACTGTTAAACAATTGGGGTAAAGTGTTATTAAAACAAACAAAAGAGAAAGACATGGTACTTTGGGAGGGTGTAGCTTACCCCAAGATTTAATATCAGATGTTACTGTGTCTTAGTTCTCACAGGTATGGCCACTTTTAAAATAACTCCTTTTATTACTGTTATTATTAGTTACTAGAGGCCCGGTGCACGAAATTCGTGCAAGGGGTTCGGCCCTCGCAGATTTGGCGGCTTGCCTTGGCCTTCACAGCCCTGGCTTTGTCCGGAAGGACGTCTGGAAGGTTGTTCAGCTGTCTGGTCTAATTAACATATTATGCTTTTTATTATAGATTATTACTTTTTTATTTTCAGAGCTCAAATATTTCAACTACATTTGGTTAAATACATTCATTTTGTGTATTAGTCGTTTGGTTGTAAAAAACAGAAACCAGACTTGAATTACTTAAGCAAAGAGGAGAAAACCATAATAGGAGCAGTGGGCAAGGTTGAGCAGCCAGCCAGGTACCAGGGAAAGACAGAGAACAGAACCTGGTACTTGAACATACCCCTCTTTCCCTTTCTCTCCATGTTCCTCATCCATGTTTCTCTGTCTTGTTTATATCTCATACCTTCTGCCATAAGACAGAAATAGACTATTTTCCCCAGTTCCAATACGAAAAAGCTCACAGAAACACTCAGTAACATTTCAGGACTAATCCTGTGTGCCCTTGGGAAAGAGTAGGCAGCCTCCACTGTGGCCATGTGATGGGGGAGGGGAGAAGGACATAGTTTCCAGGAGAAGGCAGGGGTGATGGGCACATAATACTATACGTGTCTATTTGCTATAACTGGCCAACAAGCCAGTAGTGTTTCTAAGTTTCAGACATATAGAGTGTCCAAAAAAATGTACACACCCTTTACAGCTGCTAGCTCAATTGATGTTTCTTTCTATTCAGATTTAACACGTCGGCATTAATAATTACTCAAAGTGTGTACACATTTTCTGGGGACTCCCTGTATATTAATATTTGGCTTCAGGAATAAGGGATGAAAGAAGCCTTTTTTGAATAAGTTAAGGAAGCTTGACTAAATATCAGTCCATCTCATCTATACATGAAGGCAGTTATAAAGGGGGTCAAACGATCCCCTACTTTTGAAGCATTCACCTCCTGTCTCGCCAGGGTTGGGATGCAGACAGTGGACCAATTCTTCTGGGGCTGACCGTTGATACCGGGCATCCCTAGGTGCTGTGATCACTGAAAGAAGAAAACAGGAGTCTTTCTAGCAGAGGGCAGACAAGCAGTCTGGGCAGTGTTTGGACTTGGGAAGACTTTCATGAGAACCGCAAATAAAAGAGAAATCAAGTGCCAAGTCACGGACACCACAGGACAGTCCTGGCAGTTCACTTGTGTGTCTGCCAAACACATGTACTGAGGGATCCCTCAGGGACTCAACAGTGTAAGATGGGAAGGCGGAAAGGAATGAAGTCGGGTGCTGGGCACGCAGACGGGCAGTAGACAGGAACGAAAGTCAGTGCCTTGCCTTTGAGGCACCTTACAATGTAACCTTGATCAATACACTCACCAAAACAAAATGGAAAAGCTTAAAATCACAACGAAAGAAATCCATAAGCAAGGAAAAATGAACATAGGTTACATTTACCACAGCAAAACCTCAATTGATCATAACCTTGCTTAGTCACAACCCTTCATTACCTAGAGTTTTAAAGAAAGGACAAAAAATCAGGAAATAAACTGACATCAGTGTCTACTAAGAGTCTAACATTCTACTTCCTTCTCTAATTGTGTCAAAAACAGTTTATGGTGAAATGTATGTTCAGATGATCCATTTTAAACACTGAAATTACTCAAATAATGAATAAAATGTCTCCATTCTTTAGATTTTTAAAAAATTTAGCTAAGCCAATGGAAAAAAAAAATTAAAGAAGTGTTTAAAGGGAAGGCTTTGGAACCAGAGAAATGAAGCTGAAAAGCCATTTCCTATACATTCTGGCTAAATGAGGCGGCTTTATACCTGGGTACAAGGGTAGCTTAGATTTCTAATATCATATCAGCTTTTAAACCTTCTGGATTTCTAGGCAGTTATGGGGACTACTTACTAAGATCTGACTTTTGTGACATGATTACCCATCCCTCTAACATCCAACCCTCCAAATGATACGGCTCTCTACCAAGCCCCTCAGTGTCTTGGGGAATTTCCATTGGAACCAAGCAGTGAGTGATAAATGGAGTCCTTTGGGAAATTTCCACTTAGGGGGATCTGATATCTGATTTTCTTTCCTCCAGTGCATCCTCTTGGGGTACTCTCAAGTGTGGCTTAGGGTTATTTGAGCTGCCTCCTCAGATTTATCTCCCTGTTCTATCTGTCTCAGCCCCAAGCTGCGTTGGCAGGTAGTTTGGTAACCGAGAGAGGCTGCCGAGTCGCCAACCTTCCTCCCCCCGGGGCCTTACACACACCTATTGGAAATGAGTAATATTTCAACAGCCAGGCTGCTCAGCTGCACCAGTGAGAAGCCTGTGGGACAGGCTGGGAGCCTGGAGTGATCTCCATTCCAAGCCTAGATTGAAACCAGAAACCCAGAGGAACTCAAGGATGATTTTCGATTCCCCAACTCATTCAGCCTAAAAGCAAGTAAAAACCAATAAAATAAATAAATGAAAGAAGGAAGAAGCTGAAATAAATTGTTCCCAAGCTACAATGATTAAGCTAATTATGGAAGGAACAAAATGTAAAAATGTTAAGTAGGCAGCTCTTCTGGGAGGAAGCAATAGCTCTCCACTCGGCAACTACCCAGAGGATACCTCTAGCTATTTTTAAAAACATGTTATTAAATAGCAGTTTAATTTGTTATTAAATATTACTGTTATCAACATAATTCTTTTTTATGGTTATAAATGATGTGGTAGTGCAGGAGCTATATTAGTCAAACAAAAAATAATGTGGTTTCCATTTTCTACCATGGCAGTTGTTGATGAAATTTATATTATATTAATTATATTATATTAATTACATTATATTAATTATATTATAATTAAAATTATGCAGCTGACTACAGGGTTTTCCACAGGGAAAACCATGGGAGCAGATTGACCACAGAAAGCAATTTTCTAAAATAGAAAAAAAAATGAATTCAATTTAAACCCTTTTCTCACCAGAAGACATTCTTTAATCCTTTACATGCAAATGGAACATCCAGTCAGGATATCGAGATATCCCAATCTTTGACTCACTTATGGTCCATCCAGTGTCTTCCACTGTACCAATTACTGTCAGCGTCCCACCCATATCCTCTCAGCTTTCATATTTCTAAGCTCCAGTGATCCTTTCCCTGAGGGTTTTCTCTGGTCCTGGGAGTTCACCTAATCATGCATGGGACAGACCAGAAATGCTTAGAAGGTAACATTTTCTGGCAGCCACCCTCAACCAGCCATTGAGGGATGCTAGTGGGAAAATATCCCAGCTGCCTCACCCCTCAATCGGGACAATGCTGAAGTGTATTCTACTGTTAGTCAGAGTTCCCCAGAGGGACTGGTCCCTACTTCTCCATATTGGTAACCTGAGATCACCTGCTGAATCAACTCTGATGCCATATCCTTGTCTCAGTCTGTTTTGGGAGAACTCAACCTAAGATATCCATCAAAGGCCCAGTTTCACCCTTTCTATCATCTTTCTCCCCTACAACTCCTGCCTCAATCACCTAGGGAGCAACAAGTCTCAGAAAAACTTCAGTCTAAGGTGGAAATGGGAGCATTCCCTGCCTCCCCTCTCCTGGATTGTCCTCACTACAGCCCTCCTGTAACCTCATTTCCACCTCTAGTCCCTCCCTCACCCTGACCTCCCACCTTAAACCACCAGGCCTCCTGGAAATAACACCTATTGCTAATTCTTGTTCTAAAACATGGAGCTGCCTTGATAAAACAGCAGATGGAAAAGATAGGTACAGATCAACTTCCTGCATACACCCTTTTCTCAATTCACCGAGACCAGAATTTCCAAGGAACATCCGGAAATCCAGACATTTCCTTTGATTGTCACAGCTGTGATACAAGTAAGCGGGGCAAATCTCTGATTCTACACCCACCACTCCTCTCCCCCCACTCCACGATTATAAATTGTTTAAAATACTTTGCTTTAACGCTGATGATATATTGCTTCTGTTGCTGCTTTCTATTTATACCTCTAGTCCAACAGTTCCTGGAACTGTTGATGCATTGAGCTTAAACCAACTGCTACAATTCTGGACAAAACTGACAGCTTTTTCTCTGGGTTCTTTAATTAGGAAAGTCTTTAAGGCAAAAAGACTGGGTAAAAAGAGTGCATTATTTCTTTCTAATCATGTACTTTTATACCTAAATCAGCACTATTTTTTCCCTTGATTTGTCCTATATGTTGTTTGTATTCCTAGGTCAGTGATGGCGAACCTATGACACACGTGTCAGAGGTGACACATGAACTCATTTTTTTGGTTGATTTTTCTTTGTTAAATGGCATTTAAATATATAAAATAAATATCAAAAATATAATTCTTTGTTTTACTATGGTTGCAAATATCAAAAAATTTCTATATGGGACACGGCACCAGAGTTAAGTTAGGGTTTTTCAAAATGCTGACACACTGAGCTCAAAAGGTTCGCCATCACTGTCCTAGGTGATAATTCTTTAAGTGTTTTGTTCAGTGGGGACTATAACTTTGCCAAGAGCTGCATTTACTCTCATCTGTGTCCCCAACACATGTAATTTTGGACAGACCAGCGACTTTACAAGAGTCTTCCCAAGCAAGGTCTAGGACCACCTGCATCAGCACCATATGGGGTGATGGTTAAAAAAGTAGATTCATCAGGCTTCCCTTTGACTGACTCAGTGCAATTGGGGGAGAAGCTCAGTTATTCTTACCAGTATGTATAGATACATTTGAGGAAATAGGTTTGGTTGTTCAAATTTGATAAGAGGATTTAGATTATGAAGTTTAAAATATGTTTTCCTTGTCACTCCCTGGACTGAATTCATGGCATTGACTCCACTAGTTGACTGTAGCTAATAAACTTGCACACTTATTCCTAGGAGTGACAAAGACTCACGCTAATCTTTTCTGCTGGAAAATGGAAAAAAAAAACAGTTAAAAAATTATTTCCAAAGAGTAAAATGTACCCATGTTTCCTAATGGAAAAAATATGACACATGTAAGCATAACACTTTAGGGGGCAGGGCTTATATTTTAATCATTTCAATAGACCATTCCTCTGGGAGCAGATCACGAAGTTCTAGTTTCCTGACTTAGATGATGGACAAAAATCAAGGACATTTGTACTGGGAAAGAAATGTTCTTTTTTTCTAAAATCAGTGTTGTTGATGATATCTACAGTTCAAATCTCATGTAATCTTATGTAAATGCTCTTGGTTTTTCCATCTGTTAAGATGCTATTAAGTAAACCTGATTTCTTTAGAGATAATCATGATTTCACTTAGATGTGGAATCTAATGAACAAAATAAATTAACAACAACAACAACAAAATGGAAACAGACACCTAGAGAAAGAGAACAGACTGACAACTGTCAGAGAGGAGGGGTTGGGGCCTGGGTGAAAAAGGTGAAGGAATTAAGCAAAAAAAACCCCACAACCAAACAAAAAAGAAACACAACAAAGCTCAGAAACACAGACAACAGTAAGATGATTTTCAGAGGGAAAGGGGGGAGAGGGGAAATAAAAGAGGATAAGGGGAGTATAAGTGGTGATGATAGGAGATTTGACTTGTGGTAGTGAATACACACTACAATATGCAGATGTTATAGAATTGTACACCTTTGACCTATATGATTTTATTAACCAACTAGAGGCCTGGTGCATGAATTTGTGCATGGGTGGGGTCCGGCTGGCCTGCTTTGATTGGCCCCAATCGGGTGGGGGAGAGGGGCCATGGGAGGTTGGTGAGCTGGCCCCACCCTCAATCAGGGTGGGAGGGCAATTGGGGGCAGGGCTGGCTGGGGGGAGAGGGGGATGGGCCACGGGTGGTTGGCCAGCCGGCCCCGAGCCCTGGTCGAACTCCCGGTCGAGGGGACAATTTGAATATTAGCCTTTTATTATATAGGATGACACTCCAATAAATTCAATAAATAAAACAGTAATAATCATCATTGTTTCTTGGCCCTGGGTTTGGAGGATTTTCAGGCAAGATGGTAGAAGTTTGGAACAGAACCACACTTGGCATTATCCAGCGGGATCATTATGGGCATGTAGAATATAGCTGGCTCAAGGAAGAGGTGGAATCTTCCTTTGGAATCCAATAACGAGTGTGTTTGTGGTTGTCAGCAGTCCATTGTGAGAAAACCTCCATGTCTCCAATCAATAAGCAAATACCCTCTTCCTGGAGTTGGGAACCGGTTGTGATATCAGTATCTGTGTAAGAAGAGAGCAATAGTTATGTCTTTTGGGAACGCCCAGCTTTCAGAGCAAGTGCATAGTACACATTGCTAGTGATGAAGTTCACATCTGTCAGTGATGGGAGATGGCAGCTTGAGGCATTTCCCCATAAAATTGTTCTTTGGCTATTGCGGTCTGTCCTTACAAAATGATATTGTTTGTGGCTTGGTACTATTGATTAGAGTCTTTTGTCAGCACTGGTTCTATATGAGAGATGTTTATACTGCAGGAGTTTATTAATAGAAATGATGAGAGGAGAATGGGCTCCTGCACTTGAAATGGTTTATTAACTCCACTGTCTTTCCAGCCTGGTGAGTTATACACTCCCTGTCCTCCAGATCTCTATCTCTTTATACCTCGCCAAGAATTTCCCAAGACGGAAGGTCTGGAAATGCTTCTTTGTCACTTGACTACCCAGCAACATGAATGAATAATATTTTCCACCGCTTTTCTGTTTATGAGTCATTGACTGAAGGAGCATAAACCAATTTTTCAGTTTTTAAATTATTTGAACCTTTTGTTACTCTCCTCCTAATTAGTGTCCATTATGTTTCAAACCCATTTTATGAATTTATTAATAGCAAAAGTATTAAATGAAACCATAGAAACCTCTGGAGGAGGAGTTCTATGTCTTTTTTAAAAGCAAGTAATTCACTTAACTTCTTTTCTAGTTGAATCAAAAGCTTTGACTTTAATAGTTGGAAATTATCATTTAGTAACTTATTTTTTTCAGCTTTTTAGTAGCTTTGAATTTCCACTTCTACACATAGTCTGCCAACTCCTTGAAAACAATTATTTTAATCAACCATTCAGAAATACTTTTAAACAAGTGTATAGGTCATATACATGGTTTACATTTTCTGCCTTATTCAATATTTGGACTTCTGAAATGGTACCTTTAAAATACCACTTTTGGAAAGCACTTTCCATTCCTTCATTGTGGATATCATAATTAAACTTATTATTGGTTTGGATTTTTAAAACATTGATTTTTAGGTTTTCTGCTTCACTTTTATCCTAAACCCAGCCTTCAGATCCCTGAATTTGATAATCTATAAATCCTTGCCACTCAAGATGCACCAGCCTCACCTGGGAGTTCATTAGAAATGCAAAATCTCAGGCCCCACCCCAGACCCGCTGAATCAGAATTGGCATTTTAGCAAGAGTTCATAGGTGATTCTTGTGCACATTAAATTAGAGAATCTCTGTTCTGATCTAATGCCACTTTATGATGGCATTTCCAAATTAATGGGACTCAGTAGGTCGGTTTTTATAAATTACTAGAGGCATGATGCACGAAATTCGTGCAAGAGTAGCCCTTCATAGCCACGGCAGCTGCCTTGATCCCTCCCTCACAGCCACGGTGGCTGCCTGGATCCCGCAGCTGCAGCCCCAGCTTCATCTGGAAGGTCATCCGGAAGGATGTCTGGTCTAACTAGCATATTATGCTTTTATTATTATAGATGGTATCTTTTGAAGATACCATAATAATGTGAAGATAGTGACCCCTCACCGTAGAAGGCACCTCAATGGTGTCATTTACTGCTGAGCATCCTGCTGGCAGCTCAGCCTGTGTTAAAGTTTTAAGAGCTATGGTGTCAACGTTGACATGGTGACCCCCGGCACTGTCCTGGAACTGGAGAAAGGGTTAGAGTGTGTGTGGTGAGGAAGCTCACAGTGAAGAGGAGACACATAGCTATGGCACACTATTGGCAGTAGAGATATGGAAGTAGGGCAGGCAAGTGATTAATTCTGTGGGTGGAAGGTGGGTCAGAGGACAGAACAAAGCTTCTCAGAGAAGATGATTTGATTTTAAGCATTTCACCTCAAGGGCAAGTTAGAGGCTGTTCCAAACAGATAAGCATGAAGACAGTGAGACAGATAAGCATCACTAAGGAAATTCACATGTTTGGGTTTTGGTAAATACAAGGTATGTGTAGTGTGTGTGTGGGGGAGCAGGGCAGTAGGTGGGCAGGAACCCATGGAAGGATGGGAAATGAGGCTGAGTAATAGTCACAAATACCCTCAGGTGATCAGGAGCTTGTCTTTTGTTAAAGGGGGCCTGGAGAATTTTAAACAGAGGCAGGGCCTAGCCAGCTTTGATGTTTTTCAAAGGTCATTCAGAATGCAGGGTAGAGAATGAACTGAATGTAGATAGGGCAGGAGTAGGTCAAGGGCGACCAGTATGGATGTGGCTGTAGTAGCCCGGGTGAGAGACAATGATTGCCTGGCATGAGTTGATAACAGTATGGATGGATGGCTTGGGCTAGAATCCAAAAATAAAAAGGAGGAAGTCATTTTCTCTCTGCTACCAGCCTCTCCTTTGAACCTTGGAAGCCAGCAGTTCTTTGCTGGGTCTTTCCTTATTCAGAGCAAACATCTCCAGGTGTTTGATTTGCTGCTCATATGCCATGGTTTTACATGACCCCTACTGATACTTTACTTTATTTATATCACATGCATTGTAGTGCCAAGGCTTGAAGAAAAGGTAAAATTGAGTAGGGAAAGGGAACTAAAATTACTGGGTTCCGTAGACATGCCAGGTGCACCACCAACATTGGCTCATTTAGTTTCCACAACGCTGCAAAATAAGTATTATTACCTCTATTTTTAAAGGTGAAAAGAAAGA